GTATGATGACTCCACCACTGGTGTAAGGTTAGTGATTTCAGCCACTGCATGGAAGACCAACTTGTCAGTGGTCTCACTCGCACCCGTTGTGCAATCAACGTATCATCCACGTAATCGTCCTCATTCCCTCAGGTGCTTCATCCTGCTTATTCAAGTGCATGCGTAGACATTCACCTACAGTAAGGCTGAAATGATGAAAGTGGGAGAGGAAGGCCAATCCGATGTCCTGTGCCACACACCGAGGTGGCTACTTTGTTAGCACCATTTTGCACAACCAATGAGAAGTATGTTCGTACACGAAAATGTGTTCAATGTGTTGTAATCTTGCTTCAGAGTAATGGGTCGTGGAAAGGAAGCTGTTGGTGCCTGTTTCAGTGCGAATGCACTCCTCTGCAAGGTGGTCTCCGTTTTGCTGATTGTCGTCAGTGTGGCACTCATCATCGCTGGTGTAGTGCTGATGGTTAAGTATCCCAATAAAAGCCTGAGTTTCGATGACGACTGGGATGATTGGCATAAACAAAGCGAGTAAGTCCCTTACTTTCTCATTCCTATCATGTTGGCTTGACTGTAGAGACGCATCGTTAATGGCAGTTGTCAGTGCCGTCATTATTCTGGGTGTGGCAAATTAACTTTTCATTTCGATTACTGTATGCAGAGACTACTTACAGCTCTGCTACTTCTTGTTTCTCAGAGCATTGTGGTGTCACGTGCACCACAAGTTCATCGCCTGCCCCAATGTAGTCAGCTCCACTTTAACAAAGTTTCAGCTGCCCCCTCAGAAACGCACTGAAGCATACTTCGCTCGCACCAAATGTGACATCATGCGATTTCATCCAATGTCTTCAGTGCACTGTGACCGCAAAAGCATGTAGAAGTGAATGTGTGAGCATTTCAGAGAAAGGTGGTGCTACAGAGAGCATTCGAAAATCAGTTGAGGGCTAAATAACAAATCCTGTTTCAAGTGCGTCTTGTGCCACCTGTCTGGCAAGTAGTTGCCTCATGTGTTGATCATGAAAGGAAGGCGCACAGCTGCACCGTAGCGAGGGAAGGCGTTGAAAGGCGATTGGACGTGTGGGAGCTTCTTTGACAGACACATTACAATCGCCTGCATTCCCAATAGATTAATGTGCAATGTCGACAAGCTGCTACGCTTCCACCTTCATTTGTCTTTTGGAAGTTGCATCTTCACACTTGATGCGTTCGTTTGACTCGAGCACTTCCGCCAATCCACATTCTCTCCACAACTCTCGACGCATGCAGCACAGATTTGCCTTTTCTTGCTACACAATCCTGTTGACGTCAACCAAATCAAATGTCGGTGTTGGTAACTAGCATGCCTCAGTTGCAACAGTACTGCCATCTCCTGTGGGATAAACCTCGCCCACACCATCGTCAAATGCTCGGTTGTCATGCGATGACATTGGCGATGCAGGATGTCAGTGCTGCTACTGCTGCTGCTGAGTTGGTTTCATGGCTAAAGTAAGACAAAGATTTGACCACAAGTTAAAAGGCAATCGACACTTCACTCAAGCAGCAGTGAGGGAGTGATTTCACACTGATTCGGTGGCCAACCATCCTTCGTATCCTCTCACTATTTTCGAGACATTGGAAGCAAAAAATATCTACTCATGTGTAATTTTGTCTGATGAGAGGCAGTGAGTAAACGTGCGCTTTTCTCTCTGTAGGAATTTCGCAATCGGAGCGGGACTCTTGGGAGTGGGAATCGTTCTTCTCCTGTGCTCCTTAATCACAGCCTGTTGTGCTTTCCAATTCGGTCTAATCGGACGCCTTGTGAAGTCAAGAAATGATGAAGAACAACAGCCAACTATTGTCGACCAAACTCCGGTGGGTCATCACTCACCTCATCCCTTCTCCACCACCTAGCATTCAATTAAACCATTTCCATTGTGCCTAACGTACCTGTGTGTTACTAGTATTATCAATTGTCACGCAGTTAAGTCTTGCTGAAGCGAGATGTCTGCACTGTAGGGTCAGAAGTGAGGGTTATGCTGTTGCTGCTGCAGGAGGAGACGAAGACAGTAGTCGTACAAAATTAGTGCATGGTGTCCTTAGACCACCAACACATTGTGTTT